AACGTGATGCTCTGTCAGCCTACTGGTGGTCGCGCTCGTCTCACTGAGGGCACTTCTTATCGTAGGAAGGATTAAGTAGTCAAGTTGCAAAGACTTCTTATACGCTCATTGGTATATTTACGTGTTGATGATCTCTAGCTACTACCTGTGGAGGAAGGTGTTTGCCTGCTGCCAAGTTTCTATCGTGGTCACTTCAGTTTGCTTGCACTCTGACCGGTAGTCGGCGATCTTGTACACAACAAGGCGGCTTCCAAGGTTAATCTCAGTGTTTTGTGTTGCATAGAACATAAGGATGGTATAGGGGCGGGTGGTGAGTGACGTGTGGGGACGCTTACAGCGCACTGCAGTCGGTGATCGTTGCTTGTATTTCGGGATATAACTATAACCGGGATATGTTCATTGATTATAAATTATAATCAATGATCATATTATAATTTATAATATTGATGGTGGTATATGCTTAAGTGGACTATGATCCCAGTACTACGCATCTATGCCCTTTTACAGTTGAGGCAGACATCGATGTTGTACCCCCATATTTGGTGTCCAATATGCCTCTTGGGAATCCCTGAAGACGTTCAGTTATCAGGTTATTCTGTCACATACTTTCCCCGAGGTAAGTTACCGTGTATCAATGAGATGTTCTGACATAACATATTCTCTGCAAAATTCCCCCTTGAAATTGTTTGCCGATATCCAAACGTCAATATCCAACCAACGACATTATGATGGGAAACATAATTATATTCTTATGTAGAATATCATCACTCAGTTCTCATTCTAGTACGAGGACGTCGCTTGTACACCAGTTTGGATATCTCATCAACAGTCTTCTCTACACTCCAACCCGTAGAGTCCATGACAACCTATTGTCAATAAAGAGTAGCGTAACGGTAAGTAGTGAGAAGTCAACTCTTACTGCTCCATCGGCAACTCTAAGGGGATCCAGCTTTCGAGAGAAGTCCGCCTGATCCCTTGCCTTGATATCAGCCAACGTATGGGCAAAATCACCGCCTGAATGGTGATTATGATATCCGAGTGTCGTCGTCGTCTACTAAGAGGAGTAGACTATACTGACCTATTTGTCTCTGCCGACGGTGTGCTCTCTCCTCCGCTGAGGCATCCAGATATACTTTTACCTCGGCATCGGGGAATACTACCGATCCTAACACATGTGATAGGTATCACTATCGAAGAATGATTCTCACTATCACTCAGAGCACCTGTATCACGCCCCTCTATAACAACACCTTCCTTGCAGTTGTCAGCTCTAGTCCTCAAGGAGTTCACAACGGCAGCTCTAACTTGAGGTATCTGGGCTATCTTGGCCGTAAGTATTGATATCGGAGGTGATCTTATGGCGTCTGTTACATCACGATTACCTGTGAAATGAATAAAAACTCTCAACGCGCGACGATTTCACGCATTACTACCAACAAACACCCTCTTATCATCAGTGAAGATGATCTGGTCCAATAAAGCTCGTATAGTTTCATTAGCTAATGATTCAATGCCCCCCTTTATGTCTCCTTCGTCGACAAATAAAGCAATGCTACGATAGAGAGCTCCACTATCGAGTTTAGTGAACCTGGCAGGAGGGGTGCTCTCTGGTGAAAGAAAGCATCTTTGAATTACCCGCTCAATCTGCTAGCGAGCATCTCGGCTACCGCACTCTTCCCACTTCCTGCTGGACCATCTATAGCAATTGTAAACGCTTTCCTCTTCTTGTGGGTGAGCCTTTTCCTCAAAGATAAACCAACTAGCATAAGGCCGGCCATGAGAGGAGCTAGTAACCAGGTCGGGTTGATATGCAGGGCATACCTCGGCTGTCTAGCAGAAGGAGAGATTACTGCACCTCGTAGTGTACCTGATATCACACACAATAGTGCGGGGTATGTGATGAAGCTGTCAAACTTGAGGCTGGCACGGAGAGCTCTTCGTTGGCCATCGTTGCGCCTTGAGGACTGTGGGATACCTCTGTGAGTACGAACCGCTGGAAGTGGGTGAGGCATACTATGCCGAGGGCGACAAGAATAATCCCACCACCACGCCGACTGTGACGCTGCTGCTTCTGCTCATGGTGGTCAGAGGCACGAGTCATCCAGGATAACGATGAGAAGGTACTAGACCCGAGACAAAGGAGACTAGACTACCACTTAATAACACAATGGTCATCATAATGACGATCCGTGGTTCGTAACAAGTTATACAACAAGAGCTGCTATTGACATGGTGAACATTCACTCAAGATGCGGAGTAGTATTACCATTAATAGAGTACACATCATTCTTCCGACCATCCACCCGTTGGGTAGTAAACTTAGACTGTTGTGGAGGCACTTCGACATTAACAGCACCGATATCCAGTGTTAAGCCATAAGTATCCTGGCTGTATATACGTTGCATAGCATTGTTCACTCGCTTACGCATACCTTCAGCACCCTGCTCCAAAGTATCATCCATGATGATCTAGAACAGGGAAACTCTACCACGATGAAGGCGCCTGTACAGAACCATATGATCATTACTTCGCGCTGAAGAGCATGACTTCCATCTTGAGCTGCCGCCGCCGTCCAAGCTTCCACCGCCGAGCCGAAGTCAGCCCCCACTGACGTTCGTAGTCTTGCTATCTCTGCACGGCGAAGCTCACGTAGTGCTAAGGCTGTTTGTCTAAAGAGGAGTATACCATAAGCATGGCGGTGGATCCAGCGGTGAGCTCACCTGCATATGGCTACGAATGCTGGGAATGATAGAGTTACCACAAAGCCTATCCATGATGATGTGAACTCCAATAGTAATCCAGCGAAGAACAATGCAATAGCGGCAATTGTGTAACTAATAGGAGTTGCTCATCCGACTCACTCACAGAGAGGCACTTCTCACAGTAAGAGCAGCACCAACATGAACGTAGTCATGGCTTTGTTACCACTAGCCATCCACACGATAATCTCGAAGGCTTTGGCAAACTAGAACGAAGAGAGCTCAATGGTGTTCACACCACCAGAGAGCCTTACAAGTAACCATAATGAGTGGGAGATAGCTAGATGCATCAGCCAATTAGCAGCGTTAGGGTCAACAAACTTCATGCAGTTGACGATAATCTGCCCACCACCAGAATTGAAATCCTCCTCCCGATCACAGTCCACTGGATCCATATCTCGAGTGAAGATGGTGTCAAAGTTGAGAGGTGATGAGAAGCAGTCAAACCCTCTACGACACTCATCACCTACAACCAAAGAATACAGGTTGCATGGTAGGTCAACGGGGCCTACTAGGGAAGTCACCACGAGTGACAATGACGTAGTCTATAACACAAAACTGCCATAAATAGGACAGTACTATACACATCGTCAAGCGTAGATTCATCTTAGCCTTAGAACGTATACTCTGAGATCTGAGGGGTCCAGGGACAATACGGACGGGCTCCTCTACCTTGCCCATCGGGGCATCAGTGATATCGATATTAAAACAGTTTAGCCTTCTCTTCTTAACTGTAAATATGCCATTGTATAATAATGGCAATATGTGGTATCTGGACCCAATGGGAGTAATTAAAGAATGCACCCTTGATTATCCCACTACCTTCTTAATGCTGCCTCCAACAAGACTAGAGATATACACATCCCTCCTCCTAGAGTCAGAGCCAGTAGCTGGTACTCAAACCAGGAGAACGTGTTTGTGGACATCGTTGAAGGAGGACTACATCAGTGGCCATTGGGCCTCATCGAGATCTCCAATCCCCCTCCACCGCCGCAACACAATACTGCCAAACTGATGGGAAACATCAAGTCGCTACGTTGAAATATAGAGCCCAGCAACATTATTCGACGAGTATCATGTTGCCAGACTCGCTCTTCCAGCAACCCCCATGCTGAACAGCGGCCTTAGATGTCGTTGGAAATCCACGTCGAGGTACATCCTCTCGATCCCAATTGTCAAGGACAATTCATTCAGGTCAAGAAGAGATCGAACATCCATTATCGTTCGAGCACCGGAAGTGAAAATTACTCCATCACCATAACTAGCCCATCGTAGAATGTAGGCGCCTAGGGCAGGAGAATGTTAGGTTGGTGATGGGAAAATAGTACAGCATCCAATGAGAAACAATTTTCCTAGCATCTACATTGATGAATATAACCACTGATGCTACGCCTCTCTATGACCATTACCCCGTACATTACCCCAACAATAACTCAGATCGTTCATCACCAATTCTCCCCTATAGTCGCCCAAGTCCGACTCTACTAATAACCCTGCTTTGCGTATCGCTTCGACCAGGCCCCGCTTAATAGTTACCTAAAAACCTGCTGCTGCCAGTTTCTATTGTAACAACTACTGCATGGCCTGATGAGATGTTGCATCGGGGCTCAGGCCTAGGGATATAACATCAACTCCACTCCGGAGAGTTTCATCCCCAAACAGCGGTCATATCACTGCATCGGTCGCAGGTCATAGCACTACAATGTCATAAGCCTGTAGCCTCTCCAAATAACAAAGGCTCTACGATCTAGGACAATGAAAGAGAAGTTGTCATCGTCTACACCACCCAGACCAAGGCTAATGAACTGCCGAAGTGGACTCTGCTCCACTTCATTCATAAGGCCAGTTGAGGTAACCACTGGCGAAGGACTATCTAGAGGTTTCCGTTTATGTGTGGGAACTGCGAATGCGTTGATTGAGTGCGCAGCCATAGTAACCAAGCTCAGTCAGAGATAGATACGTATCATGTGTCCCTGCTGTTATGCTAATGTTTGAATCAAAACTCAGTCGCCATCGAGGCTTTTGATGTGGCAGTAGATAGTGCCAAAAACTGATGGGTTCATGAGGGGATGGAGTATGTTTGGGCAAGTGAGATGAGTAGCACTATGCAAACGATGGCGAGAAGTGCCTCCCCCAAGCAGCACTTTGAAGTCAACATCAGCAACTGCATAGTAGAAACTCGTTAAAATCAATACCCTCAAGTAAGATTGTCCATTTACTCAATTCTCACACGCCAATCAGTCAATTAGATGATTCGGTGCCATCGGTGACCTGACGATGAGCGAGCTCTAATCCAGCGGCTTCAAACTACAGAGCTTCGAGCAAGACTTGACCGTCGATCGGTCGAGACTCGAAAGGATCGACCTACCCCAATCTTTTCCTTCATCTGTTGTACCTTCTCAAAGAGATCCTTGTACAATCCCTCGGCCTCCTCTAGCTGCGAGGCAAGATTATCGTTGTAGTCCTACAAGAGA